CTTGAAACACCACTGCACCATGTGACGGTCTATATTTTCCTGACTGAAAACTGCTTAACATTGTTTATAATTCTGGAGATTTTGATGTGACAAATAGGGAGTTCAAAGGCGCAAGCCTATTTTTCCCCTAGCTGAGCGTTGATATTTTTAGCCTCCTGCTGAAGAATTGTGGTTGGACTCGGTTATCTTTTTTATTCAGTATATATAAGGGAGAGAGGCAGAGCCTTTGAAAACCCTATTTACAGATAGATGCTGTTATGCTTTATGCTCCTTTTCTCGGTCTCGAGAGGATACTACGGTGTTTGCCTTTGCTTACTTCTCGCATAGATCCTTGCAGGCAGTCCCAGAACTTTCTATGAAATATGTACTTAATATCTTAATCCTTGGGTGGGCGCTGTATTCACATTTAAACTGAATTTGCTATCATTAGCTACGGGGGAAATTTAAACAACTGTCAATCGATTACTAGCACCTTTAACGTGACGGTACACTGCACTAGAACAGGCTTCGGAAATGAATGTAAATGGGATTATTTGGTTTGGCGTCATTTTTTGGATACTGAGTTTTGCTGCACTCTTCCTTAGTGTCACGATCGGATTTTATATTAACAAAAATTTCCTTACCTATATATTTACCGAACATGAGCTGACAGTCATAATGACTGTGAGTGGAATCTATGGCTGCTGGCTGGTTCTGACTGCCAGTACTGCAGCAAATATAGCCAAAACGATGCAACTTTTGGCTTTGGTTATATTTTTTCTTCAAACATGCGTCAGCGTTGTCCTGGAGGTTACCGTTTTATACCGCGTTTTTGCTAATCGCGAGTACTACATTGAACTGGTACTACATAAAACAGTGTCAACACTAGTGGAAGCCTATCACATTTCCGAGCGTGCAAGGAAAGTACTGGATAATGTACATTACTCCTTTGATTGTTGTGGACTTACCCAGTGGCACACCGAATGGTGGCTTGACATAAGTGGTCATGTGAAAAATGAATTGAACAGTTCGTTTGCTTGGGTTCCGGAAAGCTGCTGTCTTCCTCATCTTCGATCGAAGGACTGTGGCTTTGCAACTCCCAGAGCAAGACCATCACAGGACAAGTTGATGGAAAATGACCTGCTGGATTTCCAGGAACCCGGGGAAAGTGTTTACTTTCAAGCTGGAAGTATTGCAGCGGCTAGTTGGTACAATAGACTACTTAACGAGCCATGCCCTGATCTAATTAAAGACTATCTTGGTGAACTTCCAGTATACGCTCTCATGCTCATTATAGCACTAGCAGTCGGGAAGGCTACCATAAGTTTCGCTGCGCTCATGTCCTTATTCAAGAGAGATTAAAATCATCATCCCTAGGACGCCTACCTCTTTAATGACCTGAGGAACATTTCAGTTCAATGTTATTTTAAATGTAAAAGGAGAACTCAGTGTATTTTAACCATCTTTATAGTAAACTAGGGACATTTTCGAGTGCTTATGCATCCGGCTGTAATTTATGATTTTCTATTAAGGCGTATAGTTATCCATTTGTACAGAAACGTCTGAATTATATTATCAAAACACTTACAAAGAAGACAAAGCATAAACCACCAAAAGGAAACTAGAGAATTTAAAAAAATACGCTTCTAAAGACTCAATCCACTATTTGAAAAGATGGGGGATGTGTTTATGCTGTTGTTTTCAGGCAGGCTGATTTTGAACTTAAGTGGACAGGACCTATGCGTTTCTGGCTTATCTCATATTTTCTAATTAGCTCTCATTCTATAAAAAGATGAAAATTTTAAAATTTTGGATAAGCAGACAAATCCATAAGTTGATAATGCGTTGCTGATAAGTAATCCGTTAATTCTGAGCATTTGACACTGTCGGAACTCCCTGTATGGCTCAGAATTAGATTGTCAGAAATATTAGTCTTAACGTAAATTGGTCATTCTGCGGCTAGTAAATATAATTACTAGGTGCACAATTAGCTGTCAGTATTATAGCAAAGTTTCGTCTCATTTAAAAGATTAGGGAACTTTCTAAGAAAACGGACAACTACAAATGCCATCGCCTTTTGACATTCTAATAATAATTTTTCCGTCAAGCGCCCAGAGGTTAGTATAAATCTAAATTGGAAAATTATTTAAAAGTCAAAAATCAGCTTAATAATTTCGACTTGATTGCGGTTTGAGAAATGTAGGCCTTGGTGAAATTTCCGGTAGGGATTCATATCGTGGCCGCCTGAGTGAAGTTATTAGCATTTATACTTGTAAGTATTGCTTGCAACTTCTCAGTAGGTCAAATTTCCGTGCATCCAAGAACTTATGTAAATAAATGGTATATTTGAGGCTCAAGGGGCCCCTTCATTACAAACTAGTGGTATCGTAAAAATAAAAAATAAATTGGTTATCACAGCTGCGCGTAAGCAATTGTATAATAACAGGAATTAGTAGTAGGTTACGCGTGGTAAGATGGTAAGTTAGATCCGATCAACAGCGAACTCTCTTATAAAATAATAGTCTGAGCAGTAAAAAAACTCCTTCATCGGTGGCTGGGTTTAGCGAGCCACTGATTTCCAAAAAAACGTAGGAGAAAAACTGCCTTAATAGGTAGCATGATATGACGTGATGCAGTTAGATGGGGTCCTGCTGTTGAGGGTTCGGGACGCTTATTGTCAT